AATTAAGAAATTCAATGTCATGCAATCATTTAAATTTGAATTTCTAATTAGTGTGGCAATAAAACATGATGGTTACATGTGGAGTCTGAACTCAACCAAAGCTACTTCTAACTCCATCTCTACTGTGTGCAAGCTGTGTGACATTGAGTAAGTAATATAACTCTAGGCTTCAGATTTCTTATTTGTGAAAGGAGGTAGAGAACCTTCTTCAGCAGGGTTGTTCTGACCATAAAGTGAAGTAAGACGCATGAAGCACTCAGTGCAGTGTCTGATAACTCACAACTCTTAGAGACAATATTATGCAAATTTCAGTCCTGAAGCAAAAGTTCTTGCATTTTAAATGTTGACTGTTCTCAACAGGGACTCATTTTAGGAATTATTTTCATAGCAATCTGTCTATTCTACAGTCAATTACTTACTATTTAACAAAGCATTGTCATCGATTGATTATACCTTAAAGCATTATAGATTCCTAAGTATTATCATTCTGAGAATGTTCCTAAGAAATTAATTTTTAAAATATATAGAGATAATATATATAGGCACTGTTTATTCAAACCAGGTTTGTACCAGTAATCCCTTTCCTCACTTCCCTAATTTAGTTAAAACATTTTGAAGCTGGCATAAATCTTGTTTATTGAGATCTACATTTAAAAATTGTTGTACCTGGCCAACTTGAATCATACTATAAGAAAATCACATCATGGTACCAGATTCCTGAATTATGGGCTTTAGATGGTAGTTATCATCTACCAATCTGGATTTTAAAACACATACTATTCCAGATTATACTAATTGTATTATGAATTAGAGCATTAAGTTGAAAACACAAACTTCTTCATGACTGAAGGTGTAAAGGTACTTTATTCAAACTTAGGTGGAAAATAGTTAAGAAAAAATGGTTCAAAATATCATCTTTACATCTAGAAATAATATTCCTGATTTTGAAAATGCATACCACATCACACTTTTTAAGTGTTATACTGAAATATTTTACAAGAAAATGAGGCAACAACAGGAAAAAAAAAAACAAAATTACAAGCAATATCTATGATAACTAATAATCTAAATATGATATCTAATAATTGAAAAATAGTCTTATTGCATGAGTTCTGTTCAGTGTATGTCTCAGATATTACAGACTAATAGTTTTTTTAATAAAAATGAAATTCCTTAATTGACAATAATTCCTTACTCCAGTTTAATTTCTGAAAATTAAGTACTCAGAAAGAAACATTCTATAGCAGATTATCTAGTGTTTAGAAAAGCATTGCCATCTGATTGAGTAGCTTTTAAAATACTATAAATTCAACAGGAAAGAGAGTTACAAATATAGACGGTAGAAAATGATTAATAATGTTGGCAAAAAATATTTCCAACTCTGAATATAGGAGACTGAGTCCTAATTCTTTTCTTGAGGTCAATTTCCTACAAAACACCAAATACGATTAAACTTCAGCCAAGCCTTGGAGGTTTAACTCTAAATAAACCTAGAATTCCTTTTTCCTAGAGGAGAGTGTGGGTTACTATGTGAAGTGTTAAAGCCAATGAATATGGAGTTAAAGAAGGGAAAACTGAGGATAAAGCAGGAGAGAGAGAAGCGATGTCATAGGGGGTCATTTCTGGTCTAATATGTGTAGTGGACAGAGATAAAATTAATAAATAAGGAATCCTTAGTTTATGACATCAATTTCACCATGGTCAGTAAATATGGAATTTTTTCTTAATTTTAAAATATCAAAGTATGTTTTTAAGGAAAGGTAAGGAGGATGTTCTTCTAAGACTCCACCTAGCACAAATTAAAGAAAGAAAATTTTCTCTGCAGTCACACTGCTCTCAATTAGAGTTACAAATGATTAAGTGTGAATCTTAAAGAGCTTTACAACCCAAATAATCTCCCTATACCTAGATTTGTAGAATGTAACATAAAATGACTCAAATTGTATCAGAAGGCAAACCTCATAATACTTTGCAGACATGAAATATTCATCCAAAAATCAAGCCATAGTGATGTGTCTTCAAAAACATTTTGCAACTTAAAAATTAGTCTTTGAAGGAAACCTCCATGCTGTTTTATAATGAACATGAAAATAGACCATGTTTCCATTTCTGTGCTTTTTATTCTATTTGTTTGTTTCGTTAGCTCAATATTAAGATATTCATAGAAGTCTCATAAGGTCATTTGGGAAGAAAACTTGAATAACATATGACTAAAGGGTGTCTCAGTGGTTTGCAATTGGCTGCTAACTTAAAAGTTGGCAGTTCCAACTCACCCAGCTGCTCCAGGGAAGAAAAGCCTGGCAATCTGCTTCTGTAAAGATTCCTGCCAAGAAAATCCTAGGAAGCAGTTCTACTCTGTAACACACAGGGTCACCATGAGACCTTTCTGACATTTTCTGCCCTTTTAGAAGCAGATTGCCAGGCCTTTCTTCCAAGGTGATATTAACCCATTGCCATCCAGTTGATTCTGACTCATAGTGACCCTGTAGGACAGGCATAGTAGAACTGCTCCATAGGGTTTCTAAGGAATGGCTGGTGGATTTGAACTGATGACCTTTTGGTTAGCAGCCAAGCTCTTCACCAAAATGTCATGGCCAACCTTTTGGTTAGTAGTCGGAAGGCTTAACTGTTTGCCCCCACTGGATTCGACTCAAGGGCAACTGTTTTTTTTTGGAAGGTGCACCTGACCCAAGCCACGGTATTGTCAATCACCTCATAAGCATGTGAAAGTTGGATATGAAGCAGTAAGGCCAAAGAAGAATTGCTGCATCAGAACTGTGGTGTTTGTGAAGAATATTAAATATTTCATGGACTGCCAAAAGAACAAACAAACCAGTCTTAGAAGAAACACAACCAGAATGTTTTTTAAAAGCGAAGATGGTGAGACTCCAACTCACTTACTTTAGACATGTCAACAGGAAAGACCAATCACTAGAAAAGGGTTTCATGTTTGGTAAAGCAGAGGACAAACGAAAATGAGGGAAATGCTCCATAAAATGGACTGACACAATAGCCACAACAATGGACTCACGCATACCAAGGATCACGAAGATGGCTCAGGACTGGGTAATATTTTGTTCTGTTATACATACGGTCTCCGAGAGTTAGAGCAGACTCTATGGCAACTAACAACAATCTTTGAGTTAACTTTGTTGTTGTTGTTGTTAGGTGCCGTCGAGTCAGTTCCGACTCGTAGTGACACTACAGGACAGAGTAGAACTGCCCTATAGGGTTTCCAAGGAGTGGCTGATGGATTTGAACTGCTGGCCTTTTGGTTAACAGCCAAGCTCTTAACCACTGTGCCACTAGGGTTCCACGAATTAACTTTAAGAAGTTCTAAATGTTGGCACTAAGAAAGGGAATTATTTAACACAATCAGGTAAATAATGTTAAGTTTTGTCCTCTTAATCTGAATCATTATCCAATAGTTATCTCCATCCCCAACTCCCTAATTTAGAACCAGTGATCAGTATTATATAGACAAGAATGACACTTTCCAAGTATCAGTATAGGCAGATGCATTCAGTTTTATCCTGACTGAAGATGTTTGTAAACTGGCCCAGGCGTTTCTGCTTCTAGCTTCTACCCAGCAGTGCCTTAATTAAAAGAAAACCTCTTAGGAGGCTATTAGATGTTGACAATAGCAGAATGTTTGTTGATTCATAAATAGCTCCATTTATGCTAAAATCATATTCTTAAGCATCAAAAAAGAAGGTAATCTTCTTAAATGCCAAAATAATTTAGATATGGGCATCTGCTGGTGAAATATAAAAATGTAATAATTTGATCAGCAATGAAGCAATAAAAATAGTATTAATAAGATCCTAATTGTGTCTATGGTGACAAAGGATAGTTTCATCATAATTTTAGAGGTAACTACATAAATAACACTACATTTCAATTTTAATTCTGATTTTACGTAGTAATTGAAAATACATTTTGAAAAGCAATCTTAATGCAGAAAAAAAATCCTTAAGTTTGCTTCTACAGTACTGAGCTGAAAGAGTTCTATCTGAACTCATTTTTAGAATTTTTTTATTTTTATTTTTTATTGTACTTTAGCTGAAGGTTTATAGAACAAATAGTTTCTCATTAAACAGTTAGTACACATATTGTTTTATGATAATGGTTAACAAGCCCGTGAGACGTCAACACTGTCCCATCTCAACCTTGGGTTTCCTATTACCAGCTTTCCTGTTCCCTCCTGCCTTCTAGTCCTTGTCCATGGACTGTTGTGCCCCATTAGTCTCGTTTTGTTTTATGGGGCTGTCTGATGTTTGGCTGAATGGCAAACATTGGGGGTGACTTCATTACTGAGCTAAAAGGGTGTCCAGGGACCATACTATCAGGGTTTCTCCAGTCTCTGTCAGGCCTGTAAGTCTGGTCTTTTTTTGTAAGTTATAATTTTGTTCTGTATTTTTCTCCAGCTCTGTTTGGGACCCTCTGTTGTGATCCCGGTCAGAGCAGTCAGTGGTGGTAGCCGGGCACCACCTAGTTGTACTGGACTCAGTCTGGTGGAGGCTGTGGTAGTTGTGGTCCTTTAGTCCTTTGGACTAATCTTTCCCTTTTATCTTGTTTTCTTCATTCTCCCTTGCTCCCGAAGGGGTGAGACCAGTAGAGTATCTTAGATGTCTGCTCACAGGCTTTTAAGACCCCAGACGCTACTCACCAAGGTAGGATGTAGAACATTTTCTTTATAGGCTGTGTTAAGCCAATTGAGCTAGATGTTCCCCGAGACCATGGTCCCCACAGCCCTCCACCCTGCAATTCAGTCCCTCAGGGAGTTTGGATGTGTCTATGGGGCTTCCATGACCTTTCCTTGTGTAAGTTGTGCTGGCTTCCCCCGTATTGTTGAACTCATTTTTAAATAAAATTATACAGATGTTTCTTGCTTGTGTTAGTATTCATCGAAATGTTTACAATATGTTTTACTTCTTTTCCTCCTCTGGAGAATTAAAAAAAAAAAGAAAGAAATGCAAAGGATAATGAAGACTGATTACCTTTCTCACAGAAACGGCCAGTGAAATGTAGTGGACAGTCACACTGAAATGAGGCTGCACCACTTGAGAGGAAGATGGGATGGCAGGTGCCGCCATTGTGGCACACATCCTCCTGGCACACAGATGGTGCTGGAGGAGAGGTGCTGTGGGCAGTCCACACAGAGTCAGCCCCCTCTGTCACTCCAGAAGGAGCAAAGAAGGGGACTGTCGGAGAAGAAGTAGAATCCTGGGATCTGTGGTTTGTAAACACAAAAGGAAACAAAATATAAGTAAAAGTATCAGGAACTCTAATAGTAATAATAGAAATTTTGGTTTAAAATAAGAGAGAATAAAAACAATGTAATCCAAGGCTTAACTGAGGGCAAACAGAATTATAATGTTTGTTTTGCAATGGTGGAATTTTTAAGTATTAAAAGTGTCTAACCACGTGTTGTGACCCTTGATGAATCATGAAGCTGTAGTCAATCTACTTGGCTCTGAAAAACTAAATTTCTTCAAAGTAGTAGGAAACTTAGATGAATTAGCCTTCATAACTCTAAAAGTCAGTTCTCTTATGTAAACGTATCAAAATGTTGGCATAAAGATCGTTCTACTTTGGTTATTCCAAACCCCATAAGCCTAAGATCACAAAATCAGACTGTGTAAAATTTTAATGGTAAAACTGCTTGCGCTTGAACTATTTCTAGGTTGAATGCTTGAAACATGCACTCAAAGTGACTTGCATCTGTTTCTAGTAGTTTTCCAAGAGATACCTTAGCAATGCCCACAAAAGATTTCTTAATTTTTTTCACACATTTTTACTACCAGTTGAATTTTTTTTTCTCTAATAAATAATGAGCAAAGAAATTCTCTCTGAATTAAGTTGAAATTCTTTACTCTGGCATTTAAAGGCACTTGACAATCTAATTCCTCCCTGCTTTTCCAGTCTATTCTATCATTATCCCTAATAAGTATCTTACCTTCTCACAAACCAAATAAGTTTACTCTTCTCTAAAGACCAAGAGCTTTCCTGATTTTGGAAGCTTGTTCAAGCCACTTTCTATGCATTTTCGTTCTTCTCTTACTTGTGAATTTTATGTATAGTGCCAAGTTCACGTCAATATTACTTCTTCCACATAGCATTCTTGGTTTCCCCCGGCCCACGAAGATCTTTCTCTCGTATCTAAAATTCTATAACATGTCATGGCTAGAAGCTGTATGATGTAGTATAGTTATTATTATATATGCAATCTCCCCTCAGTAAGCTCTTCAGTGATCCTTGTTTCCCCACACTCACTCACACGCAGATTCCTCATGTTGGCAGAATTCCTTATTCAGATTAAAGATGTTGTAAATATTTGTTGAATAAATATCCTTGGTGTACTCCGGAGTGTTCCATACTGGTTGAGAAGAAGTAGTGTTGAAAATTTATTTAATATAATCATGAGATAATTACTTTTTTTTTTTTTTTAAATTTTTTATTGTACTTCAGGTGAAGGCTTACAGAACAAACTCATGAAACAGTAGTACACATGTTGTTTTATGACATTGGTTAACAACCCCACAACATATCAACCCTCTAACTTCTCAACCTTT